AGTTAGGTAAGTCATCCTCATATATCATCCAGTCTTATACCGATAAGGTGATATATTTACTCCTTAAGAAATAACTTAGAAAAAAAAGAAATAATTTAGAAAATTCTTAAATTTTTCATGTAACATCCAAAGGAAAACTTTATACTATGCATTTCATGTCTGTCTGCATCTCATTTTTAACAAAAAATAAAAGTATTTTATCTCTTTTAATATTGATAACATAATACAAACAACTTCGTATTTGAACTTGAAGCACCATTTAATCATTGAAGCATGTGGTGGATAGTACATATGGTTTGTGGTGAGGCCTATTAAATATATACTTAATAAATTTTATAACTTAAAAGACAAGAAGTCAAGAAGTCTAAAATTCATTTATAATTCTATTGCTTATTTTCTGTTTGATGTGTTAATTTCCCAGACATTTGTTGTGGATCGTACCTAGACATCACGTCACATCCTCATGCAGTCATAGGTTAAGCTTTTGGGACACAGATGAATCTAAGACGTGTGCTGCTGGGATCAAGGATGTGATGTTGGGATTGATTCATGGAGCCATGCTAGGATGAAGGATGCCTCACCTTGGGTGTGAATGCTAAGGGTGGGTAGCCTGAATAAGATATAGCAGATAGAAAGAGGGTAGTTGTTGTGAGCTGCTTCTCATTTACTTCACTGTTTGATGTCTTCTGCCCACCATGACCTTTTCCTCCTGTGAGTTGCCCCTCTGCCATGCTACCCTGCCTTGGAACCAGCCAACTATGAACTGAAGCCTCTACAAACCATGAGCCAAATAGACCTTTCTTCTTTGAACTTTGGGTGTCAGGCATTTTGTTTCAGCAATAAGAAAAGTAACTAATACAATATTCATTTGATTCTTTAAGGATCATTTATTACTAACTTTTCCTGATTTATGTTTGATAGTATATGTGTTTACTTATAATATTAATATCATAGTCTTTTGATAATGAAGTAGTAAAATTAACAATGATATTTTGCTAATTAAGTAAAAATACTACCAAATATCATACCGCTGTGCATTAAAAATAAACAATATCAGTTATAAAGTAGTACTTTGCATGAAAATGAATGAAATACATGGGTTCTCCTATGTTAAAAATCAAAAAAGTATACTGTCCTGTTATTTTGAAACTTCACTAGAATGAAAAACAGTTTTTACAGCTAATAAACATTAAGAGGATACTATGAAAAATAGTTGATTTAATTCCAGACAATTTCAAATCATAAAATATAAATTATAATTTTTACATCTTTACTTTCCTTTATATTTTCATCCACAAAATCTGTGACCAGATCTCCAACACAGAGTTAGAAGTTTGAGCCTCTTGACCTTACAAATCACTACTATTGATGGCCTCAATAAACTTCAGTGTAATTGAAAGATCATGGTTCCCTGTGTAGGTGAACAGTTTAGTAAATGCTTATTTTGTTATATCAAACTGGAAAATGTTAAATTATAAGCCAAGTACTTTCTGGATCAATACAGAACATGTCTCAATTATCACAGCAGGATTTCTCAAACTGCATTTTTTCCATATGGGTATCGCTAGTTATGCATAAGTTAATAGTAACTTGATAATCAAAACAATACAGAGCCTTACTACATCTGTGGATAATGTTAGGTAAGGGTAACTGTGATGTTTTCAAGAAACAGTGACTTTTTAATATACAGATTTAGCTGTATATTATTGTATAGAAAAATATCTTCAGACATAACTGCTAGATGAATTTTTATTATAAAGGAATTATAGTTGTTATAACTTCAGTAAAATTCAGTATATAGAATTCTCAGGCATTAAATGTTGGATTGTGCAGAATGAGGCAGAATTTTTATTTAATATTTATCAGTTTCATGGTAATTATACTCAATGTATTTTATGTTAATGGCTTCCACATGTTTAAAAGAGATTTTATCCACTGTTGAGCTTTATATATCATTTAGAATTAATCAGATGGGGATACAGCTCAGTGGCACCGCCCTTGCCTGGCAAGCTCGAGGTCATGAGTTTGATTCCAAGTACCAAAATTAAATAAATAAATAAAAGTAATCAGAATTATAAAATACTATAATGATTTTGAAATTAAATATTTTTAGTTTTTAGACGTTTCATCGATATACAATCTATTTTAAAAGGAAAATTGAATAATTTTAGTAAGTTCCCATGATTCTTCAATCACTATCAAAATCTAACTTTATTACATATACAACCTACCAGTAAGAAAAGATAAATGCACACTAACAGGGACATCTTTTTCCTCATGGAATTCCTTCAACAAGCTCCAACATACAACCCTGGAAAAATAATAGCATACTTTTTTGTCTGGTTAAGTCTGTCTGTTGTATATTTCATTTAATGGAAACATACAAAAGATCCCCTATCATAATTGATTTGTTACGCTTAACATGATGTTTACAAGGTACATTCATGTGATAGAACCTATTAGAACTTAATTCTTTTTTAGTGATGACAATATTGCATCATATTCCTATGTAATATATTAAAAATTAATTCAACAATTGGTGAACAGTTGTGTTGCTTGAAGATTTTGCATTAAAAGGAAAATAAACATCTCCACAGTGATAGCAGAAGACTTTCATGGCCTATTTCACTCTTATTGAAAAACCTCAGTGGAATTTACAATAAGAAAATGAATTAAACATCACCACGGAGCAATAAAACCTGACATGGAAATGAATTTTTGCCTCCAAGTTTTGTTGGCATTTCTGTCTACTTAATTAGACCTGGAATTGCTGGTGTCTCTCGGTTTGAGACTTTGGGTCCTGCAGACTAATGGCAATAGCAGCTACAACCCCTCATGGTCTCAGCAGCTGTGTACGAAGCTTCCAATTTTCCCTCATGTCAAATTTTCACATTTTTGTCATAAAGGTAGACACATAAATCAAAAACTTTGTTTCCCTATTAATTTTTGTAGCACTACTGTATTATAATTTTATACCAACCAAATTTCTTGATAAATACAAATCACAACTTATTCATAATGAATATGTAATACATTGTGTCATACTTTTTATGGAAGATGTGAAATGTTGGTAGAAAAGTAAAAACACATGTAAGTAGTTACACTGATTTTTTTTATCTACAATGCTGCAGTAAATGTAAACATACATAAATTTTGATCTGAACTGCTGACTTCTTTCCTGAGTATGTAATATTGTACATATAATGAGATTTTTGTTTCCTGTGACTCTAACAAATCACATATGTATTTCTTTAAATATAGATTGATGTTTAATATAACTGTCTTTTTGCTTCAGATATCAATTTTCTTATGCATATGACAAATGAAAAAATTAAATTTTGGTGTGTGAGAATTAATTGATATTGTTGGTAAAATTTTATAATTTTGAGAGTAGCAAAATGCTCTGAAAGGAAGATAGATAAGACATGGCACACCAAAGTATAACTTAAATTTTTTTCTGTTGGTTTGATATTTTACTGAACACTTTACTTTTTCATTAAACGTTTTTGTTTAACTTTCAGGAGTAGAAACCCATATTTGATGGTATTATAATGATACTCTCTGGTGAAGTCTAAGTCCTCACTAAAGAAAAATGTAAATGTTTAAAATGAAGCACATAGTATAAACATAATACTTCACATGAAGTACTTTTAGCTGACCTTCCTATTCAAATAATCATACATTCTATTCCATTATAAATACTTGCATTGTACTTCATTATAGCATTATACGTTAATAGATACAAGTATTTTTAAAACATTATTTTTTCTGACTTAGGGATGTTGTTTAGTGGTAAAACATGTACCTTGCATGAAAATAGCTTTTGATTTAATCCTCATTATCACCTTAAAAATTTATTATTGTCAAAAATGATGTCATAGTTTTATTGCACTTTAACCTACTGTAATATGATTTCATTGATGTACATTTTTGTGCATAATAATTTTAAAATTACATAAATATTAATACTTTAAATATTCTTACATTTATTCTGACACTTATAAAGTGGATAATAATTTTGGTAAGCAAATGCTTCCCTACACAAATATTGTATGTAGATAACAAGAAACCCAAGCAGAAAGACCAAGGAGGATAACTATTTTTCAGATCATTTTCAGGCACATAACACCTGCCATCTCCCAAGCATATCAGACATAGACTTTAGAGATGAAATAAGTGCACTTCACAGATACCTAGACTCTGGTAGTTGGTTAAAAGTGTGCCGCTCTTCTTCCTTTTCTGACCACCTGATATGGCAGACAGTTTATTTCAGTCCATAATCAGCTGGTTCCAAGGCAGGTGGCCTGACTGGGGGGCAACAGTTCAAGCTGCAGAAGACAACAAAGCAACAACAGCAAAAAGGGGAGAACAAACCTCTTTTCCTCTCTTATATTGTACGCAAGCTCTCCACCTTCTGCTGGTCTAACACTCACACCCTCTGCCCCTCTCTTGCACAGTCTCAGAACTTTTCCCAAGTGAGGACCCTGACCCCCTGCTGAGTCCCTTAAACTTCTAAACTTTTCAAATTGACACAGACAATATCCTAGAGCCCTAAGGGCATGTCCTTTACACTGTAGGATGTAGAAGTGCTGAGTTATCCATATAAGCTGCTAAATTTCTCTAGTCGACCCACTGCAAGGTTTTGGGGAGCAAGAGAGACCCACGGAACATTTGCTGTTAGTGAATTTTGCTGGATTGACATACCTGGTTCAAATTATTGTAAGTATTGGCTCCTACTGGCTTCTCCTCATTCTTTTTTCAGTTGGTGGTGACATTTTAATCACATGGTAGAATGGAAGTCATAGACAAAGCATTCGTGTGCCCTTTTTTTCCACTTATTGCCTTTTGGGAGATGTGTGGATGATGTCTGGTAGATGAAATCTTCATTCCCTCCTCTAAATACATCCTGAAATCCGAGGAGGGAAAAAGCAAATAGTTTTTAAAAATTCATTCTTTAATGTTTACCCCTATGTTCTCTCTCTAACTTTTTCTCCATCTAGGAATACCAGGTTGAATCAATAATCAAAATTGCTACACATATTTTTGTGAGTGTAAGTATCATGTACTTTTTTCATAGTACAGGCAATAAGGGTGTTAAAAAATATGGAAAAATATACTTAATTATACAGAATTCAAGGAAGTCAAGGCATAAAAATGGCATTCAAGAAGTAAAGTTACACATATATCCTATTTAGAAAAGAGGTAAGTTGTAACACTCATAGATGGAAACCAAGTTGTGATTGAATGGGCTCAGACATGCTAAGGGAAGATAAAAGGATTCTCTTTTCTGAAGGATAACTAACTGTGAGATAGGTCACTTTTTCACCAAATAAATACTTAAGCTACAAACAAAGACAATGTCCTTTGTGAGCACAGCAGAGCATGTATCAAATAGTTGGAAATTGTCTGAATTTTATGAAATTTACCTAAAATTTCAGACTAATTGTGAAGTACTCTGGGGATAACCAATGACACCAGAACATATTCTATACTACCTATTAAACTACAACACTATGAAGAATTAATGTACTTTTTCTGTATTTTTATAACAAATAATTGAAGCACGTAGAGAAAAATAGAGGTAAATATAAAGACAACATAGTGCAGAGACACAAGGAAATGTTGAAATGTGACTTCAAGGTTTACTTGAAATGATTGTAGCCATTTGACTGGGCAGAACTAACAATATTTGATGATATTAATGGTATGTTAGTTACTAAAATGTATTTTCAAATTATTGCATTATATTCTTTTGCTGTTCTTACTATTCTCATGTTTGTAGGGAACATCTATACTTGTGTGAGCTGTTCACTGAGAATCTGTAACCCACAGGACAGGTGGAGAGGTCAGCTAGGAAACAGCAGAAAACAGAAGACAAGACTGCAGTGATAGACAAAGATGGATATCAAGCCAAATGCAACAGCACTGCGTGCTGTCGGGCAACAGCAAAGGATCCCTGTGCATGCAAAAAGAAAGTTGCACAATATGAAGGAAGCAGTAAAAATGAAATGAAGTAGAAGAGACATGCAGAAAGAAAAATGCTCTCGGATATGTCACAATCATCTTGATTCTTTACCTGGAAAACCTGTATTTTTTCCTTTGTAATTATCTAATATACTTTGTGTCAAAGAACAAGGACCTGAGTTCCACTTAAAGAAGATGAAGAAGTTAACAGATACCGTTCTCAGGTTTTATCATGAAATTAGAAATGAAAATTTTCAGTTTCTGGTAGACATGAACAGAGAGCCTCAGGTAAGCCCGAGAGTGCAGGCAGACAGGATGCTCCTGCGCAGGCTCCTCAGGTGCAGCTATGCTGGTGGGAAAAATCATGCTGTTTAGCCTAACGAGGCAAAACAGAATAAAGGCTAAGGTACTTCAGTAGAGAGGGTCTTAAATGCACAGCTGTATCAGCTGCTGCCTCCTTCCCACCTGGTCTTCATTTTTTCTCTGTGTAATCTGTTTGCTTCCCTACTGGGCCTGCTAACATTATCTGATTCCAGGCCAAACTGATAATATTCGTTATGAGGCCTGCCAAAATTAATAAAATTTGAGTTCGTCATCTTGGTGTTCCCTGAACTAAAGTTAACTACCTGTGTCAAATCCTAAAGTCCACTTGTTACACCAGCATCAGGCTAAGATGTAAACTCCATTTGAACTACCAAATAGCTGCACTCCTCTTGAAACTCTACATGCACAGACAGATGTTTGTTTGTAAGTGGATACAATAGACAGAGTGCTTATTGGTGTTTTAAAAGCCAAAACCTGGAATACTTTTCTTTTGACTTTACATATGGAGAAAATTACAGTGTAAAATGTAGACAAGAATAAAATAATACCAAGATGAGTAAGTCCATTAAAAATGTAGATGAGCAAATGACTTTAGCATTATTAATGCTGATTGGGAATTTGACTGGCCAAATGAGCATGTTTATACTTGGGACCAATTAAAAGGCTTACCATTTTAATCACTGGCAGAACTGGACATTCAGTGTTTTCCTGGATGACAAGAATTTTCTTTTGTTGTTTTTTCAGTTTGGCTTTGTTTTGGTCTAGTGAACTGCACCAGAGTGTCCTCAGTGTAGAGAAGATAACAATACACTACCACAGTGTTAGTAATAATATCTTGTTACTAACATTTAGTAACAGTATCTCAGAGTCTCTCTACAGCTTGAGGGGAAAACATTGCTGCCATTCCTACCCTGAGGAAAATCTACAGTAACAGAATGTTTCCAGAAGTAGAAACATCCTACCAGTCCAGAACCTCCACGTGGACCCGACCTCTCAGCTTTCCCTGACTCCCCACCAGGGCAGCTGCTGTGTAGGATCCGCTGTAACGTACCAAAGGCACAGGCGGTGCAGTGCGTTGGGGCTGGACTCATGGAGAATGTCCTGGAGCTTCCCAAGAAGACCCCTCCAACATTACTAGGCAAAAAGGTGGATCCAGAACACCCTCCTAAGCCCCGGGAACAGTTCCTCCTGAAATAATTAAATAGACACACATCTTTCAGCTTTGACTTTTTTTTAATCAGCCTGAAAAGACCAGCTTTCAGATTCCCAAAGAAATTGCAAACACATCTTTTAAAAAAAAAAATGTAAGTTCTGATTCCACGTAGAGTGACTGAATTGTTGAGTTACTCAGAATTTAAAGCCTTTGTTTAATTACTTGATTCATAGAAATTCCCTTGATTCACTAATATACAATTTAGTCTCCAAAGGCACTCTGATTTTCTATATTTCCCTCTTAAATTTCAATGGGTATTTTTCTATCAGAGTGTTATACATTCTCTTATACGACCCTCTACTTTTTCTTTTTTTCAGTATGGGGAATCAAACTCAAAGACCCTCTACTTTGGTAAGTCTTTTAAAATATTTGGAATTTCTTACTTGTGGTTATTTGAAAAAGGTACAACTGTGAAAACACTTACTACTTTTCACAAGCCTAAAAAGTAATATACAGAAAAAAATACATGATCAATTATGATATTTAAGCTTAATTCATAAGGAAATCCCCATCACATTTGGAGGACAAAACTAATCATCACACCAAGAAAATCCTGTCTTCTACTGTTTCGACCAGCTTTTGTTTCATAAAACATGAATTAAGCCTTTTCAATGACTCATTGCAGAGTCTGACATAGTGAGGTCATCTAATGAATGCAGGGTAACAACCATCTTTGAGTGTAGGTTGTCAGTTGAAAGATGCCATTTGCTGTTTCTGTTTTGGTCCTTTGAGCATGATTTCGCTTCATGTGTGGCCCTACCATGGGCTCCAGTCTTCAGCCTCATGTGTGTATTGCTTCTCATTTCATCCTCAGATTTCCTAAGGATTTCATAGCCAAGCCTCGCTCTTCATTTCTCCTGCTCCCCTGGAGCAGCAGGAGATTTGTGGAACGTTCTCAGGCTCTTTCTGTGCAAGATTTTCTTGTCTTGTTTTGCACTTTTTTTTTTTGGTGGTCAATAACCCCACTCTTTTTCATACCTCAGATTTTGAAGACTTTTGTGACAGTTATTGTTTCCTTGCATGGCTTAAAAAGTAGTCATTTAATAAAACTTTCAAATCTTTCTTGGGTCCTTATTGCCTTCCCAGCCCATTAGGTTTTTGAGTAGAAGCCAGAACAAAATGTACAGAAGAAGATGTAGATATGCAAAATGGCTTTCATAAAAGCGCCTTATGTCACATTTATAACTTCAATACACAGCTGATTCACAGTCTGACAGCATAATCATTAAAGAATAAGAAGGACAGGAGGGACTACTTGGATGAAAGTACAATGAAAACCTGTTTAATTTTCTTATCTGTAAGTGTGAAAAATGTTTAGTAAGCTGGAATGTCACAAGAGGAAGCCCAGAGAACACAGGGATAACAAACACCAGGAGGACTACGGAAGAGGAAGTTTTATTATTTTCAACACAAGTCTCTCACAGACATTTTCTTAGATTTATGTGTAAGAATTCCACTGGTTTTCCTGTGATAATGGATATTTCACATATATAATTTATATACTGATTTTGTTTCTTACAGCTTATCACTGGATTGTAAACATGTTTTGGATTTTTATTGATATTTTATTTAGATAATCATCTCATTTGCAAAGAGTGACATCTCTTCTCATTTTCTATTTATTGATATATATTTACATTAAAATAGTTCCATGTACAACTGTCAAGTAGTTTTACATAATCAATTTTCTGCTTTTTAATTCTAGTTCATTTATTTTTTGCTGATTATTCCCTTAATTATTTGATCATTTTATTGAGACACAATTGATACTATAACTAACACGCATTCACATATACAGGTTGGAGTTTGACGTGTTTACCATTTTTTTTTTTCATTTACTTATTGGCCTCACTAGGTCTTTAACTCTGATTTTGAATATGAATATTAAAACATCATTGTAATAGGTGTTTGAAAAAATAATTCCTACTTATAATTCTTTTTAATCTTTTCCTCTTTGTCCCACATTTATGAGAAATTTGCCATTAACCATCTTTAGTCTTTTAATCGGTAAATAATTTATTTCTCATTGTTGGAATAGCCTTGCTTCACTCACATCATGATGATACTCTCTTATAAATCCTAAATTTTGTAAAGCAATATTTGTTTATTTGTGTCTATATCAATGGGAGATATTTGTACAATATTTTATTTCCTTAAAATATTTTTGCTTTGTTTTTAGTTTAAGGCTTTCCTAAGGAGGAAAAGGATCCGTGATGATGTCATCACAGTTTAGTACCTTTCCTTTTCTTGCTTTCTTCTGGTTAATAACCTGAGTAGTGCTTTCTCAGGTCTCCAGATAGACTTTTATGGCTGCTTGATGAGGTTTGTGAACATGAGCTCTGATATGTCACCTGTGGGGCCTTGTTCTCTTTTTGATTCTTGACCACTTCTCTCATAGGTTCGTCCAATATCTCCTCAGACTTCAGGAGAGTTATTTTTCCTGAACCTCAAGGATTTAAAATATTGTATGTTTTGTTTTGTTTATTTTGTGGTATTGGACATTGATCTCAAGAATCACTGAACTATATCTCCAGGAAATTTTCAAATTTAATTTTTAGAAAAGACCTTACTTAGTGGCCTGGGATGGTGATCCTCCTGACTCTTTACCCTCTCAAAAGCCGAAATTAGAGGCCTGTAGCACCAAAGCTGGCTAAGACTAATGTCACATAAATAAAACAATAGCCGTGAATTTTCAGGTGATATTTGTCTTGCTTGGTTATCGTAAAAGTTCTCTCATTGCTGACTTTGCAAAAGTATCTTTTAAATTACTTTGATCATATTCCAGGCTATTGGTACACATTTCATTCCTGGAGATGGTTAGAATATGGTGTTTCTAAAATAGAAGGACTTATCTTTCCTCCTCTACTTTGCAACTAAGATTAGGTAAGTGGACAGATATCTCCCCCCTCCAACAACTTGTGTCAAGTGTTCCTCCAAATCTGTACTGTTACATGTTTTATAGATACCCTGTTGCCTTCTCCAGTGTGCATGGCTATCTTGAAACCTACATGTGGCAGAGTACAAAATTAATTATATCTAGTTTTATAAGCAGCATTAGGGAGCCAAAAGTAAATATACTATTTTCTGAGCGGTAAAAACTTCTCGTTTTATAATCTATGACCTGAAATTTGTTCTACGAATATACCAAATTATAGATAACACAGGATGAAGAGGCCTCTTCATATCTTTTAAGTTATCAGTCACAATTTATGAATCCAATTACATACATGAGTTTTAATAATTTTACATTGCCTAGAAAGGTATCAAAATCATTCCAATACTGTGATTGTAAAATGGACCAATTTTTAAAACTATGACAGTTTACCTTTGAAAAACTTGAATAAATATTTTGAAAATCAATTGAACTATACTTATAATGAGCAGTCCGTTTCGGGTTATTTTGGAATGGATAAATTTTAAATTACTATAAAAAATTTTGTATCATAATTCTGTTTTATATGCTTCTTGTCTGATTTTCACAAATGAAATAAAATACAAAGTAATTTAGTTAGGTGTGCCTCGATTATTGAAAATTTTGAAATTCTTTAAAGTATGAAAGCTATTTTTAAAGCCACAATTTTTACTCAAATATTATTTACATGATGAAAAACATTAGTGTATTTAAAAGGAAAATGTACTCTTTTTTTTTTTTTTTTTTTTTGTCTTTTTCATTTTTATCGGTACCGGGGATCGAACTCACGACCGCCTGCTTGCAAGGCAGGTGCTTATGCCACTGAGCTAAATCCCCAGCCCCGGGAAAATGTACTCTTAAATCACTACATGTGAGTAGTAAAGATTCAAGAAGAAATACTATAAAGATCAGAGGAAGACCTCACAAATTTGCAAATAAATCTGCTTTGTACATATTCTTTTCAGATGCACATAGAAATGGTTACTGAGTTTTAAAGGAATGTTTCTATTATTTGTGATCAGATAATGTTATAAATTATTTCTTATTGCATAAACTTATTTGTAATACTAGAAAAATGAACATTTAATGTATCACCAGCTTATTGGTGATTTTATTGAATCATAAAATCCTGGGCCTCTGACAGCCCAGTTCCTGGGATTGAGAGAGGGTCACTAGGGTTGGGGCAGGCAGGCCGAGACTGGAGGAGCTGTAGAGTGTGCAGGAGGCCGGGCAGCTCCTTGACAGGCAGTGGGAGCGATGACCCCAAACTCTGGGGCTCAGACTAGTGCACGCCTGGCACCGCGTGGGCACGCCGGGCTGCGGGACCGATTCTTCCAACAGCAACCTGGAAATGGTCAAGGTGAGGACAGGGCAGGCTCCTCACGGGAGCCCCAAACCCCGCTCTGCTCCAGAAATGCCAGTCCTGGGTGACTTTTTCTTGCTGGTTAAAAACGTGCCTGTGCCTCCAGAGTCAAGGGGTGCCCTTCTCGTGGTTCTGAGTGAGTAGGGAGCCAAGGCTGGCTTTGGTGAGGGGGGCCCTCTTCCCCATACCCCTCGGCCTTGCCAGTAGTTGCCCTCACGCTATAGTAACATTTTTACAATGAATATTTTGTGCTTACTTTTCAACAACATTGCAAAATATAAGTACTTGTTATTCAGTGATAAAGTTAACAGTAATTACATCAAAACATGTTTTAAAGATAAATAAATTTTCTTAATTTATTTTTACCTGTTTATTTTCCCATTTGCTGCTAGGCTACTCACTAGCAGTGGCTGTGGCTCTGTCACTTGCAGATTACAACAGAGGAATAGAATTCAAAGGGTTGCTGCTAAGTTTGCTCTTTTCACAGGGACAAAGATTGCAAGACTCCAAGATAAACAGTATTTTGGGGTGGACCTACTTTTTGTAGTTTCAAGCTTTGAAATCTACCACATGAAAATGTCAAATACCGATCATCATACAGCTCTCTGTTAAATAATGATTAGTGAAAAATTCTATTCATAAGTAAGCCCAAGAGAAGTTTTTTTTCGCATTTTAATTTCACATTGAAAACCAATCAGATTTGCCACAGTCTCAAAGAGATTAATATTTATGTAAAATTAAATGAGTCCTGGTAGCTAAATGTACTTTTTGTCTAAATTGAAAATTTAAAAATTGATTTACAAATGCAACATTGCCCATGAAATTTAGTTATATTCAGTTAACTACATTTTAAGTAATACTACTAAAGACATTCCAAAATTATATTTATTTTTATCCTACTTTGTATACGCATATAGTACGTATACTATTTATATGTCTTGTGCAGAATTATTACAAGTACATAACACACTTTAATTCCTTTTACAGTACTCCTTCCCTTCCACCTGGCGATCCCCTTCTCCACTGAGAAAGATCTATCCTCCTAATTCTTATTACCTATCATTTATTTTGCTTTATACATTTTTCCTAACTCATATAAGAAAAGCCATGTGGTATTCAGCTGGTACATTTGTTTAATGTCATTTAACATTTTGTTCTCAGAATGCAATCGTTTTCCTAAAAACTCAAATTTATCTTTCTTTGTGGCTAAATAGTAAAATGCTTATATTCAAAGTACTCAATAGTACTTCAGATGTTTGCATAATTTAAATTCTATTATTTTAAAGTAAAATGTGAATAATTCAAAATTTCTAAGTGGTTTAAAAATATGAAGTTTTATATCACCATGGTAACATATTATTAAATGTACTTAATAGATATTATAACACCTAGTATATTGTCTCAATACAATATGAAGTATAATAGTAATTGTGGGATTTGCTTTAAGAACTGTTATTAGTCAAGGCTAAAAAATAAAGGAAATCATTGCTTTAGTTACTAGCCCATACATTCACATCTAGGAAACATTTATTTGATAACTTTTATTTAAGATGTATATTTTATTGTTTTCAAAAATATATCACTCTTTAATAAATAGGCAAATTGACAGTTTTTTTTCTCAGATTGGCTTCCACGTCTCCTTAAATATGTTTCATTTTAAGTAACAGAATAGCATGAAAGTAAGAAAAACATGTTTCTAACAAAAACTCAATATGTTAAGAATAGTAAATAAATGTGAACTAGTTTCTAAGAGTATCTCATGGAGGTATTAACTGGAATGCATAAATCTCTCCACCATAGTTCAGAGATGAGGGCCGGTGAAATAAATGTATTAGTCAATTAAGGTATGATTGTCAGTTCGTGAAAAGAAATGGTTTAATTTTGCCTACAGTTTTAGAGATTGCAGTCTAGATGAGAAAGACTTAATAGTTTCAGTCCTCTGATGAGGAAGGGGCAGCACAAGACTGCATGAAGTTTGTGGAGAAGTAACCCTGCTCGCATCGTGAGCACAGAGAGACAGCCTGAGTCATAATTCCTCAGAGCATGTGTTCATGATGACTGCACAGCACTCACCAAGCCCCAACTCTTTTTTCTACAGCCTCCCAGTCTCAGGAATCACCTTTAACATGTGGACTTTCAGGGAACATTCCAGATTTGAACAACTAAATACTGAAATTGAATTAGAGGACCTAGTCTAAGAATATTATTTAGCTTTTATGTGAATTTGGGTATGTCACTTATTCCTCACTCGCCATTTACTCATATTAAAATACATATAATGATTCTGCATTCGTTTCTGCATTATGTAATTATTTTGTGAATTCAAGTATGAAAAAAGTTTTATAACTTGAAAACTAAAACTCTTATCAAGAGGCTTCCAAATATTAAACATATTTTTGTAGATGTCTTTATGACACTTGCACGGTCTAGGTTGTTAAGAATAAAAATAAATATACATTATATATGATATAGATGTATATGTATATATATATATACATATATATATATGTATATATATGTATATATATATATTCTTACTGAAAATGTTCAGTTTCCTGATTGTTAGTGTTTAATGTATTTAGAGCATACAATATATTAGGTAGATAGATATCTGATTTTTATGATTGTTTGAGAATCACATTTGTCGCTTTTCTGTTCGGGGGCAAAAATTTCTCACATTTACAATCTAAATGCACAGAGCTTCATTTTGGCCCATACTTTCAGAGATTTCAGTCCCCCTTGTGGAAAAGCATCACAGAGGAAAGCTGCTACACTCATGGCATTTGGAAAGCAGAGCAGATTACAAAGAGCCAAAGAAAAAAGTTTCAGTGACTAATATAGTCCACAAGGTTATGCTCTCTTGACCCATTTCCTTAAACTATACCCCATGTCCAAAAAGCCCATTCAAATACAAACTCAGTTTTAATGAAGTTACTGCTCTCACAATCTAACACCTCTCCAGGAGTCTCTCAGTCCAGTCAAGAGTACAGTGAAGCTCAACTGATTGAAGACTATCACTTTATCAATTTGACACTTAATTACACATCTTTAAACTATGATTAATTTCTCAATAACCTTATATCTTTCAAATACATTTGATCTTCAAATACACCATGACCTCATTCTTCTGCTGGTTCTGCTCCTTGCTTATAACTTTTTGGACCATGTTCCATTTTCCTGGCATCTCCAAGTTTCTGTGGTATCCACTGCAGCTTCACTCCACTCCCAGGGACTCAGCAGCCTCTCAGGATCTCGTAGCAGGCAGGGATGCTGGTCTTATAGTATTTTTGCTCCACCAGACCAATTAATGCATCATCCTTGAACTCCGCCGTACAGAATTTTAGCTTGTGGATAAACTGTAGAAAAATGATTTGTAAGAATATAGCATTTTGGTCTCTTGTCCAATTGTCAAAAGAATTCTCTTTTCCCATCAGAATTCTAAAGCTTCTTGAGTACAATTTTTATTCTAAATTCTGTTTAACATTCAGAGCTTCTGAGCTACTGTGATAATCATCTATCAGTCTCTGTTTATAGCTTTCTAGGAGTCTGAAGCCCACATCACCAAATCACACATTACTCCTGAGAAATAGTTACAAAGGCTTCTGAGCC